ACTTTAGGGATTATTACTTTAATTTGTGCTTAGGGTTTTAAGCCGAATTTCTCAGGGTGTTTTACTATGTGCAAAACCATCCACCCTGCGGGAACAGATAAAATGCCATCTAAAATCACCTTTTGGCAGAATTTTAGATTTTACTTTACCTCCCAAACCTGCGATAAAATCTCACATAGACCTATTTGATTATACTTGAATTATTGCTAAACACTTCCACAACCTTTTGGCAAGAGGATTATTTAGTTATAATCCAAACACTCTCAAATATTCTACCCACTTATCCCACACTAAGACATTGATCACCTTTTGGCAAAACAAACGCCCTTATATAAGTAAGTGCACCGTAAGACCTCAATAAGACCAATACCTTAAAAATTTAATAAAATAATAACCTCCATGAGCGTGTCACCTTTTGGCAGGCAGCACCTACTTTAGTTATTACCTTTTAAACGGTCACTTTACCAGTCTTCCTAAACCCCAAGGAAAACCCTAAACTGAAGTTCCATCTATTTAAGTTAAACAATTTCTTTATAATGCACATAAATTAAACCTAAATATTATGGAACACTTAATTTCACCGTAATATAAATGGCTTTAATACAAATAAAATAAAACCCCTTCATATATTTTAAGAAATTACAGTGAACAATATAATAATAGCATGCACTTCAATTGAGATTTAAAAAATCTCAATTCTTTATATACTTTAATTAAAAGAAATCTTAAAACATGATGCATGCATATTATATTTCGGATATTTAATTTAAAGTACTTTGAATCTTTAAATCAATTAGGTTAATACTGCTTGCTTATGACACGCAAGCCCTATAGGTTTTCAACCTAAAATTAAACAAGTATCATTAATTACTCAATGTGACTAAATAGTCACACAACCTCATGTCCCACTCAAAGGTCACTGATTACATGTAATATAACATGAATTAAAATTCTGAACCTGACATCAACTAGGCAAAACAAATCACACTTTAATACCTCACTGACCATTTATGCATTTGATGCGTGTTTGTATAAACACATTCAAATAAACAAGTCCACTTTAAATTCATGAAAGTAAAATTTTATAAATATATATTTTTCTTTACTGTTAATCGCACTACTGTCCATGCAATCTTGCATATATATATACATATATATCAAAACATATATATTCACTATACAAAGGCTTGCTCACAAAACCAATCAGTCAAGTACGTGGACAAGAAAAAATTTACATCACTTATACGTGTACATCTCTAACCCATGAATATATACATACATGAATTAATTATGTGTGTATATCAATATCTGTATCATAATATTATAAAATTTAAATAAATAGTTTGTGTATTAAAACTAATGCATTTGTTTTATATATAATTATAAATAAATCAGCTTTATATGTATATAAAGCACCACTGTAATTGATTGACCCAATCAATAAGATAATGACAAACCTTCAAAACTTCACTGTAGCTTTATTACATTATGAACTGTAGCTTTTTTTTTTTTTTCTTTTTCTCGTTCAGCGTGCATACATTATGAAGAAAATGACTGGCGAAATTGAGCCTTCAAATCCACTGATCCACGTTTGGTTTAAGCTGTCAGTTGTTTAAGTACACAATTTCTATTACAATTAAATAGCAAACTGAAACTTTCTTGTCTATTGTTTTTTTCTATTCTCGTTCGGCGTGCGCAACATTATGATAGCAGTTGAAGACAAAACCTTATATATTTGTATATAAATTAATTACATACCCATATAAGTATCAGTAGAAATACACACAATTTTTAACTTTATGTTTGATTCATCACACATGAAAATTGAGAATTTACGCAATCAGTTTGATTTCAAATATACCATAAATCAATCTTTACTATTTTTGATTTCGATAAACCCTAACTTTGCTCTGATACCAATTGTTGGATTTTAATTAAATTAATCGATGTAAAAATCAAGAATACTTTAAAGAGTAATTTAGATATCGTACTTGATTGATAATTAAATCACATAATCCCTTTAGAATATCTATGTAATCCTCTGTGAGTTCCTGCAAAATATTAGAGCATTTTATCTCCTTCTAAGAGTTGTCGATACGATAAGACTGAATAAGGATTTTAAAACCCTTATATATAACAACAACAAGGGGGACAACTTCTCTACAAACAAGCATATCTAAGCCCCTCTTCCTATCATGAAAACTTAGATATCAATGATTAGAATTAAATCACATCAAATAAGTTGGAAAATCACAATCCAACGGTATAAAACCATATTCCCAATTAGACCACCAAATTAGAAAGTACAACCCAATCCATCAAGTATTACAAACCTATTTTAGAAAACGTAATACATAGGACCATAAAATAATTTTATTATTTAAATATATATATATAAATTCCAACATGCCCTAGCCACTTGAGAATTCTACCATCAGCGACACTGACATAGGGTCCTCCATCTCTCGCGTCGAAGCCAGCAGATTCAGGACCTGTGACTTTTGGCGGCAATTGGATCTTGCTGAATGTAAATGAATTAGAAAGAGCAAGATAAGGAAGAGAGAATAAAAAGATGAAAATAGAGGGCATGGTAGCCATTGTTGCGAGACTAAAGTTAATTGCAATAGCTAGAATGGAGAAGCCAATGCAATAGGTAATAGTATTTATAAGCATGGAAACTAATTCTCAAGGTCCTCATCCACATGAGCACTCACGCGCGTTCACAGAGAGAAGGGGGAGTAACAGCCATGACATCAAGCTTTTTGACTATATAGCATGCTATTTTTCAACGAAGATGGATTATTGATCCATTCGCCATTTTATATGGAGTTTTTAAGTCTTCTCAAAGATTTAATCTCCTCTCCCATTTTGCTGCATCTTTTTCATGTCCATACTTCCTTTGTCCAGTTCCTTTTCATATCCATCAAAGTAAACTTCTGTATATAATAAGTCAATGAATCCCTTTTTTCCTGGAATTAAATAATTTGATTTATGATCACTATAATGGACACACATATCCTCTTCAGAAACACATTCTTCCTAGTTTTTTATTAAGCAACTTATGTGGGACTATGGCAGACACGTCTACTTTTCAATTACAAATCTTTCCTTGACTAGTTAATTCTTTACAACTCTTTAAAATACTATAGATACTGCCAAATGATTGGAGTTTGTTTCACCCCCAACATACCTACATGAGGTTCTCTTGGGAAACCAAAAAAAAAAGGGTTAGAATGTAGTAGTAGCTAGTTTCCAAAAGGTGTTAAAACCCTAAAGCTTATTTAAAAAGGTTGTCAGAAGTGGGATTTGAACCCACGCTCTCTCACGAGAACCAGAACTTGAGTCTGGCGCCTTAGACCACTCGGCCATCCTGACCATATGCAAGATGTATATTTTTTCTGTATTTGAATAAAATAGAGAAAATTAAGGAATTTGAATAGGAGATAGGAAATCAAGCTTCATTTAAGGGAATCACATTAAGTGATGGTCTTCTTATATGAAATCAAGCTTCATAGAGATGATTTATTATTATTATTATTATTATTTTGATAAAGTGCGTTTGTTCATTGTCCCATTTCATTTGAAATATATGTGTTTGACAAAAGTATAAAATTGGATATTTCTATATCAGAAATGCTAACTATTCAATTTATGCAAAAATGATATTGTTGGTTGGTGTAATACACAATGTCGCCTCCTTGTACGGATGGGTCTTATAGTGTCGAAAGTTATAAAAGGTGTGTTCTTCCTTCATTGGACACCAATTGATTTTCAGATGAGACGGCACAGCCAAATGCAACAAATATTATGCAGAGAATATGGCATGGGGAGTTGAAAGAACTTCACTTTGATCTACTAACGTGAGTTGTGTTAGCCCCAACTTTCACCATTTCTCTTGAAACCAATTGCCAATTGTTGTTAGACAGGGTTCAGTCTTGAATTTAAACCTTGTCTTCGTGATGGTCAATTAGATACACTAGCTGCACAGCTTACTAAGAGTGAACTTTGGCACCAATGGGCAAGTAACCCACAAAAAATAAATAAATAAATAAAAATAAATAAATAAATAAAAAACTCTGGCTACCTTGCCAACGAGTTGGATTCAGGTCAACTGAACCTTTTTTCTTGACCCAAACAAAACCCTTTTGTTTAAAAGATCAAATAACCAAAACCCAATCTAAATCAAAATTGTTTAAAAGATCAAATAACCAAAACCCAATCTAAATCAAAATTAAATCAAATTGACTCAATGGATATAACTATTTAATTATTTTCCTTTTCAAAATTTGAATTTTTATTGGTGCTTCTGAGCATGTTGGGAATCACAACCAATTAATAGCCATTACTGTCAATTTTCAGCAAGTAAAAAAGAGAATCAGATAAATGAGAAAACAAAAGCTGTTTTTAGAAATGTACTTGGAATAATTTGAAAATTGGAGATTAGACTGCATCTTATGGGCTCGTTGAGAATCCACTATTATTATTATTACCTCCAAAAGGGGGAAAGTCAGGGGAGGCATCAATGAATGCAAACTTCTAATATGCTGCATAAAGATTAATTTAAGGATGGTACAGATTATTAATCGAAGCTATTTAGCATGCTAAGTACCATCTAGATTATCACCCCACAATGATCTCATCATAACCTTATTGATATCTTTGATGACTTTTGTAGGGATCATGAAAATAGGACTCCAATAAACTTGCATGGCAAACAGTACACAACTTTAGAGGTACAAGATTGGATTTAGCTGTAATTTAGCATTTATCAGGGCCTGAATGGACTTACTACACCTTTGAAATTGAAGAAAAATCCAACATTGAATAAATTAGCCACCTCAGGATTGTCATTGTATTTAACTTGTGTATGATAAAATGGAATGATCTCATTTTCATAGTCCCAGAACTTTATTTATTTCTACAATTACTCAAGCCATTAAAGATTGACATAATATAAAGCATTGAGGATTCGAAAATCTTAAATGAAAAGTGTGATTTTATTTAGTAGTTTCCCAGGAACATTTACTTAGCAGCATCTGCTAGTTGCTTTAGACACCACTTCAGGGATTTCTAGTTCTTGAACACACCAACAAAATCAACAACACGAGACCCTACATATAATGCCCCATTCTGCTCCTGAACCACACTGATTGACCTATTGTTATATTGCGCGGCGAAAGATACAATTTCCATTCTGCCATATGCATTGATCCTATAACCTTGAGGCAAAGTAAGCTGCTGTTGATTTATTTCATTTACTGCCACCCAAAATTCTCCGGTTGTAGTTGCCCTCTTAATTTTAATTGGATTTCCAGGAAAGTTTATGAAAACCTCTGCCGTATTGGCTTTCACACCTGTAAGCCAATACTTGTAAATTCTTTTGGCATTTAACTCACAAGCAAGCACAAATGAGCTATCTGTACTAACGGCTGGTCCTCCTGTCCCGAAAAGCCCTCTTAGCAACACCGTCACTTGCTTAGTGAACGGGTCATAGTTCATAAATCTTCCGGTTGAGTCAGGTTTGAAATTTGGCTGCGTGGAATTTCTGCACAAATAAATTTTACTAGTTTAAGTACACTCATTTTTGCACAATTAATTTAGGGTCAGTCTAGGAAAATGGATTTGATAAGTACCTTAGCTCGAATGTTGTACTAGCGTCTGCGAAATAAACGGTCCCGTTGTTTAGATCAACATCCACACCATTGATGAATTTGAATGGCACGCCTTCTGCGCTGGTAGCAAGTCGGGTTGCTAATCCGCCATTAGGTCCTACCACTAGGAGTCCGAAATAAGCATCACCAATGTAGAGATGCCCTGTTTTATAGTAGAAGCTAAGACCTAATGGTCTCCCACAGATTGGTCCCATCTCTGGATCAGTAGTACCATCACACATTTGCTTGGTCCTGAAAAGGAATTAAATTAGGTTGAATGGTTCAAAACCATAACATTAGTAACACATGAAGAAAGCTCGTAAAGAGAGGTTTTTCCCATGTTAAAATTACCTTTTTGGCGAAGTATAGGCAAAATCTACAAAACCAAAAATGGGACCTAGCCACTTGAGAATTCTACCATCGCCAACACTGACATAGGGTCCTCGACCAAAGGCGTCGAAGCCAGCAGAATCAGGACCTATGACTCCTGGTGGCATTTGGATTTTGCTGAATGATGTAAATGAATCAGAAAGAGGCATATAGGGAAGAGAGAAGAAAAAGACGACAATGGAGAGCATGGCAGCCATTGTTGTGAGACTATAGTTAAATGCCATAGCTAGAATGCAGAAGCCAATGCAATAGGTAATAGTATTTATAGGCATGGAAAGTAATATTTCTCAAGGTCCTCATCCACATGCTGACATGCGCGTGCACACACGCTATGAGAGAGAGAGAGAGAGAGAAAAGGGGTGTTAACGGACATGACATCAAGCTGTTTGAATTGAATAGGATGAAGATAAATGTTTCATTCATTAATCATATAAAAGGGAGATTTTAAGTCTTCTCAAAGATTTTGCTGCGTCATTTCATGTCCATACTTCCTTTGTCCATTCTTTTCATATACATATATTCAAGTATAATACTAACAGTATATAGTAAGCCAATGGATTCCTTATCATCTAAATTAATTAATTTATTTGCAAAGTGAAAAAGAAAAGAACTAATTTGTAACGACCCGAACCTAGAGGTCCGAACCGTTAGCCGAGTCCTTACTCGAACCCAAGGTCATCAATGTCAAACCCATCATTTCAAGCTTCAGAACAACACCCTTAGGATCATTCCTAGGTTGTCACATGGTTCCAACATGAATACCAGAGGTTAAGAATGGTATACCAAAGAGGGAAGGGCAATGAGGACCAAACAGGTGCATTTCGGTCGACCGAAGTGGAGCTTCGGTCGGCCGAAGCAGGCCCTTCAAAACCGGTTGACCGATACTCTTCTTCGGTTGACCGAAAGTGAGATCCTGAGAGCTTGAAAAAGGTTCGGTCGACCGAAATGACTCATTCGAGTCCTGATCCTGCAGTTGATCTGCTGCACATTGGAAATGAAAGGGAAACTAAAATGGAGACTTCACAATGATCCTAACTCGAAATAAGTCACCAAAACTGAGTTACTTAACGGCCGCAGATTAGGATACCAACACATGATCACATAAAACATCATTGAAATTAATTACACGAGTCTTAAACTTATGTTTTACATCATGGAAAACTTACATCAAAATGGATTCAAGTTTCTAGTTACATTATCCTTTACATACTAAATGAACTTAATACATTTCACATCATATGCTTTACAAAATAAGTTCAAATTCAACAAAATACATTCAAAATGCTCTTCACGTTCCCTTAGTTCTATAGTGGATTATCATCCGCCAATTCCTTGCCATGTCCTGAAAAAAATGTAGAATATGATGGGGTGAGCGATTTGCTCAATAGGTGGCACTTAAGATACGTTTCTTGTGTCCCCGTGAATCCAACCAAGAATAGAGCAATAGGATTCGAGGTCATGCTGTGTCGAGAAAGCTCAACATAACAGTTAGTCTCAATATAAATAATGAAATACCATGGAATGCAATGTATACCAATGTCACTTCCCATTTTCGACATTCAAAACCATCACTTTCAAACGGTTAATATAACACACCCTTTGGTGACCCTGCAGCGACACGAGAGAAGGATTGGCTAGTGTCCCTGACCCTTGGTACCCCCGCGGCGTCGTTTTGGGCCTAGCTAGCTCAACCACGCTAGGGCAATCTCTCTAGTTCCCTCTAGGCTATATTAACTCTCCGACCCTTTGGTACCCCCGCGGCGACCTGGTTTTCATAAAACCAATTCATCAAAACCATTCCCCCAAAATTCCCCATTTTCATTTCAAAACAATTGCTTTCATGCAAGCCCAATGTTATGCATATGAGTCTCATGCTTACATTGCAATAATACTAAGATGATTTCTCACAACACAATTAAATATGTTCTCATACATCATTTATAGCATGTTAACAACATAGTGGACTTAGGAACTCACATACAAGCATGCTCATCATACAACTTAAATTAATGCACATCCTCATACATTCATACATGTTCCATCAAGTCAAAGTAACTATAATCACTACAATTAAGCATACTAGTACACAAATCAAGTAAATTAACTCATTAAAGCATAAGACTTCGTGGATTAAGGACCCCTACCTCAAGTTGATATAAAACCCTCAAATGAGTCAAGAAATTCGAAATCCCTAGGGAGGCTCAAAGCTGAAATTGTTGGTACTCACGCGTAGAACTCGTCGTGCTCTCCGTTTTGCCTCAAACGGCATTCAAAAATTCAAAGTATTGAAGGAGTAATCTTGATTCAAAGTTTGCTTCTCAAAAGCAAAGAAAAATGAAGAGAAATTGAGGAAGAGGAAGAAGATACGGGGAGAGAGAAAGTGGGGAAGCAAGGTGGTCTCTAGACCACTAAAAATATGAGTGGTAGGTCCCACCACCAACTTTTTGACTTATCATTTTTCTTTGTTTTAATTCCCACACCACCCAAATGTATATATATACACCACCAAAAAAATGCCACTTAATATACATAAAATAAAATGTATAAGATGCAAATGAACCCAACTAAAATCTCCGTGCACAACAATACCGGTAGCGAGTCTCACACGGGACCGTCCGGTCCGATCCGAAAAGCGGAAAAATGTGAAAATGACTAACCTTACATTTCAAAGAGTCTTGGACTCAATGAAATGTCCTAACCAACTCACTGACACACCCGGCACACCCTCCGGTGTCTGGTGCGCAAAACGTGAAATGACAAAAATGTCCTTGCACTAACAAAATTCCAAAAAAATGAGATATGCGAAAAATCAAAAACATCACATGATTACATTAGTTAGGAGGAAAAATAAATAAATAAATAAAAAGTAAGGAAATGAGACGATAGTGTTAATTACTCGTAGTGTTTGGTTAATTAATAAAGGAGATGACAATAATCACGTTTGAGAAAAGTAAAGGAAATAAACTATTATAATGAATTTACAACCATACGTTTTTTCATAAAGTTTTTCTTTTAAAAAAATAAGAGCAAATTTGGTATTAATAAAGTTTCATTAAAAATATTAATTTTTCCTCTCATTTTCTGGAGGATAACAAAAGCTATTACTCCAAATCCTTCCTTTTTTCCTTTCCTTTCCTTTTCTTTTCCATCCAACATTTCTTACCAAACACATTTTTTTATTTCCTTCCATTACCATTCTTTTCTTTTCAAGGAAAGAAATTACGAAGGATGATACGCATAATTTTCCTTCCTTTCTTCCTGTTATTTCGACTAAAGAAAAAGTAACTGAAAAAGTAACATTACTTTATGACTAGCCAGGTCTGGTATCTTTGGTCGGGTTTCTTTCCGGTTTGGCAAGAAAATTTTATCTTGTTGCACTCAAAGATTGAAACAGTTCCATTCACAATGCACCCAGTCGCCATAAAATTTTTGAGTTAATATCAATCCAGATGTGAAAAATGATACTCCATACAGAGGAGTTTTACATTTCGTTTCATATGTCGTTAGAGATGCCAATTTCATAAAGGTCATTTGCTCGTCCAATCGCTTGAATGTAAGAACTAATTCAAACGATAGATTGAACTTATTTTCTTCTACAACCTTTGAAATAAGTTTTTCTGTGTCCTATCTATAGGTTTATCAATAGGAATTTGGGCATCACGTATTGACATCAGTTTTAGGTACCATTTTGGTCATAACACCTAGTATATTGTTGTATTGATTTTATGCTTGAGGTTGCTATGTTGGAAAGGAAGAATTGTTTCATTCCATTTATTGGCTCCTTCACTTTCCATTAAAGCTAGTGACTAAACAACTAGTATGCAAAAAACAAAACATGAACCAAAAGCATCAATAATCTTACATTAATAATCCAACTTTATTTATATTGTAGGAAGACCAGAAAACAGTTGTGTTTAGTAGCTTTATTAGTTTTAATTGCCATTTTAGGACTTCATTTCCTGTATACACCAACAAAGTTAGCAGACAGAGACCCTATATATAATGCACCAGCATACTCTTGAACTTCACTAACTGATGTCGCGCCGTATTCAGCATCAAGAGCAACTGTCTCCAAAACCATTCTCAATCCGTTGATCCGTTGTCCAGTGGGAATGGTAGTAGGCATAGGCTGCAGTTTTTGGATGCTCACTGCCACCCAAAAATCTCCCAATATGGTTCTCTTAATGTTATCAGGATATCCTGAGAGGTTTAGCAATACTTCTGCAGAATTAGCCTTCGGACCTTTGATCCAAAACCTTCTAACCCTACTTGCAATTAGCTCTGTCACTAGGACGAATGCGCAATCTTTACTAACCGCCACCCCTGTTGCTCCAGAGAGCCCCCTTAGCAACACTGTGACCTCTCTTGTCTTTGGATCGTATTTCAGCAGCCTTGAAGTAGTGTCACCACTAAGAATAATCTGAGTTATGTTACTGCAAAATTGGTACCACAATTTTAGTACAATTCATTACACATTTTGCTTAGGTCTTAACAAATTAGATACAACCTCTGTCAAAACCTTACAAAGATGAATTGAGAATAAGAAAAAGTTTTATGTGAAATAGGAATATACTTTAGCCGAAAAATAGCACCAGAGTCTGTGAAATAAACTGTTCCAGTTTGGGGATCAATATCCAAGGCGTTGAGGAAGGCAAACGGCATATTTTCAACACCATTAGCAATTTGGGTAGCCAGACCTCCATTGGCTCCCACCATGAATAGGCCAAAATTTGGATCAGCGATGTAGAGCTCGCCGGTTAGATAGTTAAAACCCAAGCCCAGTGGCCTCCCACAGATGGCTCCCAAATTTGGGTCATTTGTGCCATTACACAGTGCCTTGGTCCTGAAATAGAGTGACAAAGGATACATACTCAAAATATGTCTGGAAGAAACCCAAAACAATAACAAGAACTGAAGATGATTGTATGTTTTTATGTGACTAAAAACTGGAGATTAGTCTCACAGGAATGATTACGTGTGTGGTGAAGTAGTGGCAAAATCAACGAAACTGTCACTATAACCTTGATATTTGAGTATTCTACCATCAGAAACACCAGTGTAAAGTCCACCCTTCTGGTCGAAAGCGAGGGCCTCCGGACCTATGGCTGGAAGTTGAAGTTTGTTAAAGGATGGAAATGGATTAGAAAGAGCCACACGAGGAAGATAGAAGAGAAGGAAAATGGACAGCATGGCCCCTGTTGGGAGACTTGAGATGAATGGCATCTTTTCAATGAAGGCCGAAATAAATCATACCAGAATTTATAGTACTTTGAGAGAGAGAGGACCTCATCCAAGATTAGGCTTATATTCAAAGTGAATTAGTTTAAAACTGATGAGATCTGTTTCTTTCTGATACAAATTTTCCCTTTATTTTAGTTTAAGCGCGTCTTAAACTCGATCATTGAGGTTGAGTGCCTTAGATTCTGTAACTTAATATCAGCTTTATACATAAAAGTCACTAATTTAAGACTAGTATAAATATTTTGAGTACTACTATATTGCAATAATTACTGCTTGGAAAGCTAGCTATGTTTCAGCCCTCACAAGATTTTAATGAACAAAAATGCAATATAATTTAACACGCCAAATTTCACCAGTATTGATCTTGATTGCTGAAACATCATTTACATTAAACTAGAATCAAAACTTGCAGCTGAAAATATGATTATACAGACACAGGCAAGTTGTGCAAGTGGCACCGAGAAAGTCCAAGACCTACGTAGCAAGAGGGGCTGTTTAGTTATAGTTAGTTAAGCCTTCCAAGTAATGGACAAGTGACAAATGATTCACAGGGATGGTGATGAGGCCAATGCCATTGTAAGCCACTCACAATTTTAAGGGCTCAAGGATGGGCATTGTGGTAAGAGAAGGAGGAAATGGATCATTACATGCAGCCAAGTTGGCCCAAAATCATCTCTCTAGCTTCTACAATAACCTTAAGTAAAATTGTTCTTGATCGTTAGAAAAATTGTAGGGTTCTCGTTTGATCCGTCAATCCCGTGATTATATATATATATATATATATATATATATATATATAATTTTTATTTTCTTTATTCTTGTATTACTTTTAGTTTTACTAACTTTTGGAGCATCCGCACCGGCCTTTCCAGATTTTGGCTTTCCAAAAATGCCATTTCAGCTTTTCCAATAGTCATGTCAGTAATTGCAAGAGCCACGTCAGTAACTTTTGCTTTCCATAAACAGACACTCCATCAAGCTCGAGTTTACAAAAAAAAAAAAATTATATATATATAAAACATTTTCCTAACGGGTATATTTCTAACCGCTATATCCCTAACATTTATATTTGTAACGGCTATATTTCGTGTACTAGAATTTTTATTATGTAATGGTTTTTTAATATTAAAAATGATGAAATTGTTTCTCTAACGGCAATATTTTTCAATTAAACAATATCTTTACAAATTATTAAAAAATCTACGATTTATATTATAACTTTAAATAATACATTATCCATTATGGATTAAAAATAAATAAATAAAAATAACAATTAAAAATAACTTAAACAATACAATATCCTGAATTGGAATAAGAAAATAAATAGAATAAGATTACAAAATCTCATCGGAACTTTGAGGCGGATCGTGAATGCAAAGATTCCAATATCTCATGTTGTCGTGCAATAATTCAAGTTTTCCCCACTTTTGTTAGTTCTGAATTTGAATCTGTTAACATGATCTCCTTATCTTCAGCTCTTTGTTTCTCTTGAATCTCTAACTTCCTCGTTTTCTCTTTCTCCACTTTTCTTACCTCTCGTGCCATTTGGGCATCTTCATTTTCTCCTGACGACTCTCATAACAGCATTTGAGATCATTAAAATTGTTAACAAATGAATTTTGCAATTCAAATGCTGAATTATTTTTTGCTTAGCGGTGCTTCGTCACTTTTCTCCTGCTGGTCGTTGTAGTTGTAACGACCCGAACCCGAGGTTACCTAAGTTACTCCTATCATTACAAATGTCAAAACATCTGTAGCGACCCTAAATTGAATACCAATTAAAAAAAAAAAAAAATTGGCATGACCTCTGTTAAAAAGGGGCTTACAACAACCTGCTTAAATAAAAAAAAAAAATTAATAATGCAATGGCTTTTCTTGGCCCTTCAAAACTTATCTAACCTGTCCCAACACACATAAAAAAAAAAAATAGAAGACATTCCCAAAATAACAGCATCAACAACCTCCTTAAGATGGCCCATCATCATTATCCCATTCAACACAAAGTATTTACATAGTCTCGCTTCCCTTCAAAATACCGACAAGAGTTGTAGTTTACAATACATGACCATGGCTTGCAAAATGCATACACTTTACTATGGTTTTGAGACTTTACAAAAGTGTAGCAAATATACAAAAGATAGCAAAAAAAATATTCATGGTCTCTTTAAGTTTGTGAAGGGTCTCCATCTCCTACTTCCTTCCCGTGTCCTGAAAAAATGTTAAATAATGGGGTGAGCAATTTGCTCAGTAGGTAATGCCTAAGACACACCTCTTGTAGCCCCGTAAATTCAAACAATGAATAGGACAATAGGGAACGGGGTCATGCAAAGCCGGGGAAAACGCAACATCAATTCTAAGTCCATAACAAGCAAATATCGTACCATGAATGCAATGTCATGTATGTCACTCACCGTTTTTCAAAAACATCCATCGCTTTATAAACTATTAATATAACCCATCCTTTGGTGACTCCGCAGTGACACAAGAGAAGGGTTGGCTATTGTCTCTGACCCTTGGTACCCCCGCGGCATCATTTGGGACCAGATAGCTCAACCACGCTAAGGCATTTCCCCTAATTCTCTCTAGGTTACATTAACACACCGGCCCTTTGGTGGCTCTGCGACGACCGGGTTTTCATAAAACTATTTAATCAAATTTCTCCCAAAAATCTCCTTTCACTTTCATTTCAAAACATTTTGCCCTTTCCATTCATGCCCAATGCTATGAATGCATGTCACATATTTTTTTTTATTTTTTTTTTCAATAATATGAGAATAAGATAAATTCACACTACACAATTTAACATGCTCTTTCATAGCAATTTCTAGAGAATTAATAGACACCGTAGGCATGGAAATTAACATCTAAGCATGCTTTTTACATAATTTCATCAACACATATAAGTATAGACTTCAAATACAACAACCATATCATTTTTCAAGGCAATCAATTCAAATAAAGCATGCTTGATAACAAATAATTAAAGGAAATTCACAAGGGAACAAGAAATTGGGAATTAAGAACCCCTACCTCAAGATTATGCAAAACTCCCAAATTGATGCCATAAATTTCGAAAATCAAGGAGTGCACCAAACTAGAAATTGCTCTGATCAACTTGTAGATCTCGTCGTGAGTTTTAATTTACTGCAAACGGCACTAAAAAATACCAAGTATTGAGGGAAAAATCAAAATCTAAAGATTTAAGGCCAAAGGAAAAAAGAAAATTCAAGAAGAGGAGGTGAGAGAGAGAGTTACGAGAGTGAGGGAGAAATGAGACCCAAGTGGCCTCTTAAAAGGCTAAAGTGGGTCCCACCAATTTTCTTTTATTTTTCCTTTTTCTTTTGTTTTCATTTTACACCACGTACACATAAATATATATACATATGCACCTATTAAATTATAGCCACATAAAATACATTAAATAAAATAATTATGATGCAAATGGACTCAATTAAAATCCCCGTATGTAACAATTTCAGTAGCGTGTCCCATACGGGACCGTCCGGCCCGAAAAACAGAAAAAGGCAAAAATGATCATCCTTGTATTTCAAAGAGTCCTGAACTCAATGAAATGCCCTAACCAACCCTTAGACACGATCGACATACTTCACAGTGTCCGGCACGTAAAACGAGAAAAGACGATAATGCCCTTGCAACAATAAAAATTCCAGAAAAATGGAAAATGATGAAAAATGAAAATATTACAACATCATTCTTAAGTCATAGTTGTGCTCCACAACGACACAAAAACAAATTTTCGAGGCTTAGGATAATTTACCTCGGTGGATGGAACAAAAGAGGCAGAGCAGGTGCACTTCGGTCGACCGAAATGGGGCTTCGGTAGGCCGAAGCAACCCCCCTGAACTGGTCGACCGAAACAGGCATTTCGGTCGGCCGGTTATGGACTCAACAGTAGCCAAAGCTACTGGAAGAACCGGTCGACTGATGGTCCTGTTACTGGAAATGCTGTAAATCTGAAAATGAATGGAGGCTTATGGGGAACTTTGCAAATATGTTCTAAACCAGCTCTAAAACACTGTAAAAATGATAAACCACCATTTGTGCTTATGAACATCAACATTTAAATATAAGGCAACTCCATCAACCATTCAAATAAAATATAATACATTGTCTTTACATTTCTGTTCAAATATACAACAAGTAGAGTCAAGGTTCATAGTTAAATTACAAGGCCATGTTTGGTAGTTTAAATACATTTCAAGACATTAGTTTACAATAGAAGGCTCAATACGCAAAAGATATCAAAAAGAATGAACTCCAAGACCCTTTCAAACTTGTAGGGGATTGTCATCCGCCAACTCCTTCCCGTGACCTGAAAATGTTAAATATAAAAGGTGAGCAAATTGCTCAGTAAGTGATTCCTAAAACACACCTCTTGTGACCCCGTGAATCCAAACAATGAATAGAACAATAGGGAAAGGGACCATGCTATGCCAGGAGAAATACAATACCAATTTCAAATCCAAATGAACAATGTGGTATTATGAAATGAAATGTCGTGCCATGTCACTCCCCATTTTCAAAAACCATCTATCACTTTTCAAACCGTTAATATAACCCGTCCTTTGGTGACTCCTCGATGCACAAGAGAAGGATTGGCTACTGTCCCTAACCCTTGGTACCTCCCCAGCATCATTTGGGGCTCAGATAGCTCAACCACGCTAAGGTGATTTCCCTAATTCCCTCTAAGTCATATTAAAGCCACAGACCCTCTGTACCTCTTCAGCGTCCGGGTTTTTATAAAAACTACTTTGTCAAAACCATTTTCCCAAAAGCCCTATTTCATTTCAAATCAAATTACTCCCCATTCTATACTCAATGATGTCCATGAATGCATCATGCTTTTCAACCTTATTACAAGGGTAAATCATACACCATTCTAGTTAAACATTCACAATATAATAGACTTTGAAGAAAAATTTCCAATAATAACCACATGGTATCATATTGCAAAATCTAAC